GACTCCTACAAAGACAACACAGAGCCTGTCATATCAGCTCCTCATCAACGGTGCTGCATATCTTGTTTCAGCCTTACCATCTGTGGCTTTGGACAGGTTGATGTAGTTATTTTTCTGTCCCGGGCTTTGGACTCCTCACCAAGGTACAATGGAGACAGGGGCTGGTGATTCACTTGTAGTCATCACAAAGTAGGTGCTAAACACTGTGGGTACAGCCAGATAGGCATAGGTTCTGACTTTAGGGAGGTGCTGTAGTGGGCTCATGAAACCCAGTCCAGCCCTCACACTCCAGGATCCAGATGATGGGGACTGCACTAGGTTGAATTTTAAGTAGCCACAGTTCCTAACTCTGGCATGAAGTATCACATAAATTCACTCTCTTATGAGTGTGGACAAGACTTATAAGTACAGAGTGATTTTGCTTTCCTGATTGGAGCTCTTACAAGGCAAAGAAGAAGGGATCTTACTGGTGTTACCATGTCTGTTCCCCAATGCGTTTCCTTTAAGTTTAGGAACATGGAATTTAGTCAGAAAAAAGCCTGAGTCAATCAGATGGGTCTTTGAAGGAGAGATCAAGGCCAGAGAGGCAGAACAACTCTGAGGATTACAGTTCCAGAATGAGCATCTCGGCAGCACATGGTGACTAACTTCTAAAAGCTAAGGTCCAAGTTCTACAACCACAAGCAGCAGAATTCTATTAACACCCCAGGTCTCCACTTACTGTCTTCTTTATTGCATGGAACTTGTGATGCTTGCCAGCGAGCCAGGTATATTATCTCAAGCCACCAAGTTTGCAATAATGTTTTGCACAACACTTGAAAATCAAGACCACATAGACACTGCCTTGAATATTTCCAGGATCTTAGGCCATCCCTTTCCTGCCAGTCAGATCTAGGGCCCAGGCACCTTCTGAATTTCTTATAGACAGTTCTACTATCAGCCACAGCAAAGAATTATTTAATCAGCTGCCAAACCGTTCCCAAAGTTGGTCATCAAATAACCTTCTATTTGCCCTACGTTTAATATAATTATCAGCTTCATTTGCATGACACCAACTCAGGTCTCTGTCATAGGCCCTACATTATTCTTAACTGCTTTTTCTGGGAACAGCTGTATTCATGCCTCATGCAAGCTGCCTCCTCCCACATGAATTATCTGCAATTTCCACACCTCTGTGCCTGCCTGCTGAGGCCCTTTATTAGCCAGGGCTTGTGTGGGGCTGGGGCATACTGTCATTTTTAGAGCAGTCAAGACAGATTCTAGGAAGCTGGAGGAGCAGCAAGTGGAAACCATTTTTGCCTGTGATATCTATAAGAAGGGAGCAGACAAAGGGGATGCATGAATCTATTGTGACAGGCCACGGGTAGCAGACCTGCCCTTAGCTAAGGGTAGGGTATGTGAAATGGCCTTTAAATACCATGTGGTAGCAGAAGCTGGAAGGGTCCTTTCTGCAACTGAAGAGGCTGAGCACTAACTCCAGGTGTAAGGAAAACAGGAGGGGATGGAGGGATAAGAAAAGAATCATGGCGAGAGAGAGGCTGTGAGAACAGAAGTATTTCATTCCCCATCAACCATGGGCTCTCAGAACATTTGGCTCCCATGAGTAACCAGCTGAATCCCAAGGGAAGGCACTACAGAAGGTGAATGGGAAATGTCACTCACTCTCTGACAAGAATTGCCTAAGAGTGATGAAGCTATTCGTCTGCAGGCAGGCCCTGCTGTCTGCCTGCGATCCCTCAGGAGGGACTATCTCTATCCCAGAGGAGAGGGTGTATATTCAGAGTCTAGGTGTGTGGCACCACCTTGAGAGGCTTGCACACAAGGCATTGGGGGGGGTTCCCGCGATGCTCCAGAGCACTCTGGCTGTATGTTAAAGCACCCTAGGGAGCTTTCAAAAAACACTCCTACCCAAGCCTCTCCACAGACCAATTATCTAATTATCTGCGGTGGCTAGGCCTGGGTAGAGCTGTTTCTTTCAAAGCTTGTGAAGAGGTTTTGTGGAGAAGAACTAAGAAGGGTCTTTTCTCTAGCAGAAAGTGCCAGGAATCCTGAGTGGCCTTGGATCTACAGAAGGAGACCACACCAGAAATGACAGCTCTCCACCACGAGACACCTATGTTCTGTAAGGTGCAGCTTATGTCTGTGTGGCGCCAGGGTTGGGCTAGAGTCACGGAAGGAACGGCTGCCCAGGAGAGATGAATGCTGGGTAGGGTGGCCTGGCATCCATCTCCCTCAATCCCTCATCTCAGGAAATCAAATTAAAACCCATATTTTTCAGCTGCTGCCTGCCTAGCTGGCTGGCTGGCTTGTGGAGAGGGATGAAGTACTGAGCTCCTCAGGGTGGGGAATTGTGGGTGTGGGGGCCCCTCATTCTCCTTCTCTGGGAGGGAAGGCACCTCAAGAGAACTCTGGGGGGACCATTGTCTTGGTGGTTCTTTAACGCAAACCCCCAAATACTTTCCAGATCTTGGTAGCTAGGGTGTGGGTGGTGGGCTGCCAAGCGCAGAAGGTCAAAGTTAGAACTTGATCTGGGGTTGACATTTTGGGTGAAGGAAGGTAGAGATAACCAGAGATCCTGGCTCTGTTCTGGAGGTGATCAGAAGCCACTACACATGGGGCTGTATTTGTTAGGAGGACCAGAGACAAATGCTTGTGACAGGCAATGAGTAGCATCAGACACGGAAGCTCGTCCTGACCTTATAGAATGATGGAGGGAATAGATCACAATTCACTCCTCTGCTGGGGTATGCTGCTTGATCTGGTAAGAAAATCATCTTCGTGCCCCTGGGGAATGAAGCAACTAAGAAAAAGCACCACATTTGGATCACTTCAGACATACCTGGCTGGGTGTGTCGTGGCTTTCCATCAGCCCTCTGCCCTTATCAGCTCTATTTCGGCTGGGTGCAAGTAGGAACAGAGGCCTGACTGCCCAGTCTGTAGGGGACTTCTTTAAGGTCATAGGCTTCAAGGCAAAGGGAGGACAGGTGTGTGTGTGTGTGTGTGTGTGTGTGTGTGTGTGTGTGTGTGTGTGTATGCATCTCACTTCCTTCTGCACAGCTGGCTGCCTGGACAGAGAAAGATGTACATCATGGCTACGCACCATGATGAGCAGCTGGTAACAAAGAACAGAGCAGGTTCTGGTTCCCAGACACAGATACCAAACCAGGAACTGGATGCACAACTTCAAAGTGGCATGACTCCCATAGGGGACTCTGACTGTCACCATCTCTGAGACTGTAGGTGACCCCATCTCCCCATCCCATGCATCCCCCCCCCAGTGCCAATGTCCTGCATTCTGTGCTTTGCTTCCTATCTGGAGGTCCCCAACAGCCATGCCTTCCTTTGGTATGTCTCACAGTTTACAGAGTACTTTCATAGGTGACATCCCATTTGATTGGGCTGGAGGCCGAGTAGAGATGATGACCTCCTGCTTGGGAAAACAGACTAGAAAGAGATGCAGTGCATTCTAGAGGGTGGTCTTACTTAGCACCTGACTGTGCTCTTTCTCTTGATAGAGAAGACTGGTATTCTCTACTTCTCTTCCTCTGGAATATGGCCTGAAAGGAACACAAGCTAGTGTCAGCTAACAGTGAGGTGAGGCGGGGTGGGGGGTGGCTGGTCGGAGCTTAACAGGCTGGGGGGGGGGGAGATCATGGACCTGCTCTGTCTATAGGGCACTTCACATAACTTTTGGGACATTAGGTTGCTCCTTATTCTGAGCCTTAGTGTTTTCTTTTGTGAAATGGGGTGTAAAATGGTCAGGTCTTACATGGTAGGGTTCTGTATTGCTCCCATCCCATGGTTCTTCTCTGTCTCCTGGACCTTTTATCTTCAGCTAGACTGACCTTGCCAAAGGAAGGCTCAAGTCCTTTCTCCTTACCTCTTTCTCCTTGGGGACTCCTCAAAAGGCACTCTGTATCCTAGAGATTGGTCACAGGAAGGGTAGCCCAGAACTTACCCAGACGTGGTTGAGAGCTGAGTGATGGGGGTATAGAGAACTCACAGGATGCTCTGACTAGGGACAGTTACAACCAACTGGGCATGGCACAACAGTTGGCTATAAGACCTTAGCTTGCTGAGTTCTGCTCATTAAGCCTCCACTTACCAAATTGTACCAATAACAATAGTAATTTGTTCAGCACCAGAGACTATATGAGGCTAGTATAAGCCTACTACTGGCACACAAACTGTCCTTACTCAGTGCTGTTCTCATTACCCCAGCAATAGGAACCATGATTCCAGATAGTGCAGGCGAAGAAGTCGAGGCTCAGAAATGACCCAAACTCACAGAGCTGGCAAGGCAGTCTCATTTATTTTAAGAGACCTCCTATAAGCACCATCACTCCTATACGGGCTATAGAGGTGTTCTCCAGAGTGTCACCTTTGAGGACATTGCAAGTGCCTACTTGCAATCCAACCCTTGAAGACCCGAACTGCGGGCAGACAAAGGCCCAGAGGGCCTGGCTCAGGTAGTAGGGTTGCCAGACAAGGTTTGGGACACAAAGAGGAGAGGGAGAGGGCTTTCTCTCCTGGATGTTTTGCGGTTGGACAGAAAGGTGGAGAGTCAACTCAGCCCGGAAGCTCTGCGACAGAGCTGGAAAAGGGGGGCTGTTACCTCCGCCTCCGCGCCCCGGGTCTCTGCCGCATCTCCTCCTGCTTGCGGGCTTGTGTTAGTGCGGTGGTCCTCATCCAGCTCGCGATCCCTGCCCCGGGCCTAACCCCGCCCCCAGGCGCTCATTGGCCTGCACCCCACCCCCAGCCTGCGAGGTCCGCTGGGGGAGGCGGTGGTCTGTCGCCTCCCTCTGCCCGGGGCCTGGCTGCGCAGCCGCCTCTCCCGCAGGACAGAGCGGGCCGCGTAGCGCGGGGCGGGCGAAAGCAGACGAGGGGCTCCTGGCTCCCATCCCCGGCGGTGACTGGCGCTCGCTCTGGACCAGCGTGGTCCCTGTGTGCACATACGCACTCGCCGCGGCGCAGGGACACACAGACCTAGCTGCCCGCGGCCACACGCACTCAGAGACCAGGCTCGGCGCGTTCCGCGGCTCACACGCTCCAGCCGGAGCAGCTCCAGGCGCCGATTCGCGGGCTGCGCGCCCTCCCGCACCTTCCGTCCCGGCGTCCCGCAGCCGGCGGGGCCCTGTGACCAGCAGGTAAGGTCCACCCCGGCCTGTCCCTCCTCCCCGCAGCGCACACACAGCTCCAGACCTTATTCTGGCGGGGCCCTTGGAGCCCTCCTCCAGCCCAGAGGTCGCCTGCAGCGGCATGCTACGCCGACCCAGAGCCGGTGAGGGCCAGCGCGGGGCACAGCACCGGAGCCCAGCCTCTCTCGCTGCCTTGCTTCGCTCTGCCCCATCTAAGTGTCTGGGACCATGGCTTGGGGCTACCATCCCTGTAGACCACTCAGTGGGGATCGGCCTAGCTCTTTCAGCCTTTTCTGATGCCAGAAAAGGGCATTAGGAGCAGGGACGACACTGCGGCCAGAGGTACCCTGAGAAAATTATCTCCCGGTCTCCAGGGTGGACCAACGCACCTATGCCATTTTGGAAGGGAGACACTGAAGGGTCCTTTGGGGGACTCGATTCCACAGTCTGTGGGGGTACCTGAGGGGTGGGCAATCTATGTGCTGGGGATGGAGGTAGGGCAGGAACCAGTTTAGTTTGTTCCCCAGTGGAAATAACCTTTGGGGTTGTTTAGAAAAGGATAGTCCTAGGGTTTCCCCGCTGTACAGAGGGATTGAATGAGAGATGCTTGGGCTTTGGTGGTCTAACAAGGAAACGCCCTGCAGGGCCTGTGGGAGAAAAAAATCGCTGCTGGAGTGGGGTTGTTCAAGTGGGCCCACCTGAGACCCCTGCTGACTGTTTTAAAGGCCCACAGCAGCTAGCTGCTTGGAGCAGGACCGTATCATCCATCCACCAGCAAGAGCATGGTAGTTTTGGGGGTCAGAGGAACCAGGTATCAGTGCATGGGAGTAGATCTTTAGGAGCAAGCATGCAGCAGCAAGGGGACCGTGATGGCATTTCACTTGCTGCGAGGGAGTGGAGCATCAGTTCTAGAAGGAGCTCAGAGAGCCTTCTTGGCCTGAGAGTGAGTCTTGGTAATTAATTCTTCAGACCATTTCAGGGCTGATGTGTCTGGTTACTTTTCTTTACTTAAGGCTATGTGTCCCATAACCCCTCGCTCCCCAACAAAAAGAGAAACAGGCCTCTGTTGGGATTATTTTTGGGAGTTCAGGTGCATTCCTGCGAAAGCATGTGGGAGTTTAGAGGCTATACTGAACATGTTGAGGGCAGTTTGCCCTGGGACTGCAGTTAGACTGAGGCAGGCCCCTCTGAAAGTCCAGCTGGAAGCTGGAGGGTGGCTGTGGCATGGGAAGAGAATGGGGTATGGTGATTGAGCCTTATGGGGCCCAGGGATGCCAGGGAGTTTTAGGTTTGTTCCAGAGACCCTGGGATGCATTTGCTGTGATGGGGCAGGTGAGGCTGGAGGGGCCCCATTTCCAAATGCGGGCCCAGGACTCCTGCTCCTCCCTGACCTTGGAGAGTACAGGCAAAGGCCCCAGTCTGGGCACAAGCCAAAATATGAACATACAAATTAAAGACAGGACATGCTGGAGCCAGCCTTGAGCCAGATCTCCTGACCAATCCAGCTATCAGCAAGTGTGTGTGGTGTGACCAGGAGTCAGATGTGGTTCCTCCCGTTTTCTTGCCATCAGGGGTGGTTCATTGGTGGCGAGACATCTGTCCTGAGATCCCTGAGGGTCTTCTGTCTCTGTGTATTGAGGAACATGTCTGTGGTGAGCCTGCAGGAGGATCTTTTCCTGCACTCCCGAGACTGAGCTAGAGAAAAGCCTGTGTTCACATCCTGTTTTGTGCACGTTTCAGGCTGGCAGGGGCTGATTGGTGAAATACTTGTTTTTTTTTTTTTTTTTTTTTTTTTTTTGTTCTTTGTTTTGTTTTGTTTTGTTTTTGCACACAGCCATCTTTCTGTCATGCTCCTACTTTTGAAAACCCTTTTCCTTCCACTTGATTGAATGGTGGAATGCACTCAGTGCATGTTTACAGATCAGTATACAGCTAGGACAGTAGATAGGGCCACAAGGGGGCTTTCTCACTGAGAAAGTGGCTTAACAGGGATGCCTTTCATTGCCCAGGAATGACATTGCTGCCTGCCCAATGCAGGGCCCGGGGTGCTCAATGCAGTATGGGAACTTCATTTAGCACCAGGAACACCATGTTCTCCTGCAAGCCACTCATCTTGGAGCTGACCCTGTGGTGACAGAAAAGAGCAGAGGATGGGTATGGACAGAGCTGTGATGCTCCAGACAGGAGACATCCAGAGGCCTCAGAAGCTGCCTGCCACTTCTGAATAGAAGGAACTGGGCTTCTATGCCTGAAAGGATTGGACTTCATGGTCCAACTGCCTGGCAACATGGAGGCAGGAAAACCCTTAGCTGGGATGTGTTTGTACTGAGCTCTGGATGCCGTCAGAAGCACACAATGATAACCACCCACACACTGACACACAGAGGAGTGACACACAGCTGGGGGGGGGATGTAGGCTTCCCATGACACCTGCCTGGGATCTGGGATGAAATGGGGGTAGGTAGCAACACAAACACATCCTCACACAAGATCTGGGGACACTTGGTCACAAAAGCTAACCTTAATGAAGGCTAAGGGGTGTGTGTGTGTGTGTGTGTGTGTGTGTGTGTGTGTGTGTGTGTGTGTGTTGCAGGAGCCTAGACCATGGACTGTAGCTTTTCTTATTCTTCTTTTAAATCATAAATATTTTGGGCTGTGTGGCCATCATACTTGGTTTCAGTGACCTTGTCCTGCTGTTAAGCTTGGAAACAACCACATGGGACATAATAATAGAAACTAAACCTGACTATGTTTTGGTAAATATTTTGGACACCTAATATTTTAATTTCATGCAAGTTGATTCTTTAACTTCCTGACCATTTAAAAATGCATCATTTAGAAGCCATACTCTGGTTGTCAAAAAAAAAAAAAAAAAAGAAAAGAAAAAATAGTGAACAAAGTGAATTTGACTGCCTGGAGGGGTCCCTGCTCCTGGGCTGGATGGTTAGAGACAATAAAGGGTCCAAGAGGTTGAACAAACAGGACATCTGGTCTTGGAGCTCAAGATGCCTGAGCACTAGTTGCTCCCCTTGGTCTCCCAGAGGCATCTGCTTGTCAGTGCTGGGAGAGGCCCCCAGTGTGCTCAGGGGACACCCCCACCCCGAAGTATAGCCGGAGACAGCACGCGTTAAATACTTCTGATGTCTGAGCATGCCAAGTAGTTCCTCAGCCCCCTCTCCTGTTCCTCTTATGAGGAAGAAGCCAATTCAAAATCTCACCTTGGATCTCACAGTAAACTTGGCAAGACCTCAACAGCCTAGGAAGGAGGGAAGGGCTCTTTGTCCAGAGCTGGGGACCGGAGGGTAGAATAAGTAAGTGGGCTTTCAGGAGGTGGTGTTCCAAGGACAGAGTGGCCTCTTTCCTCCCAGCTCTCCTCAGATTCTGAGTACTACCTGGCTCTTTCACCTTCTCCCCGGCAGATGGACATGTGGCATCCTGGCTGAGAGCACTGGCAGCCACTGTGCACCTTGGAATCTCTTCACTGGGGACCTAAGGCTCGGTAGGGTAGCAAGCCCACACACCCCCTGCACTTCTCTCTTGCCCTGCTGTCCTCCAAGGACCTTTCTTTCCTTTAGCATCTTCCAGGGATACTTTGCTGTCATATTACTCCATACCTCAGAATTTGGCTCACTTTCCATCAGCTTGGTCCTGATCCTGAAGGGCCCTGTCATTTCTCTTCTCAGTGGCCAGGAAAATCTCTTCCCGTGCAGTCCTCCACTGCCCCTAGCTGCTAGGCTGGCTGCAGCCTCCCCTACCGCCTGATGTCTTGCCCTGGAGGTGGCTGTGATGCAGGGCATATGTGGAAGCCTATATGAAGAGGGCAGGGATGGAACAGTGATGTCCTCATGTCTATCCCCGCAGAGGCTTCAGAGGGCAGAGGAGTTCAGAGTAGGGAAGGATGCAGAGACACCAGACTCCAACTGAGGGCCTGGACCAGCTGTGGGAGGAGTTGTAAGCGGCCTGCAGCAGAAACCACGCCCCTGCTGAGCATGGCAGATGGCCTCTTCTGGGTTTGGCATAGTGAAGGCAGCCAAAGGGTCTGCAGATCCCCCTTTTTCTGACAAGGAAAGTCTGGGAGCCTGTGTGTGAGTCACCAATCCTCCAGTGTGCTGACTGGTGATGCGGCTGACTCTGTCAGCTCCTGCTCAGCTCTCTGCAGAATTGCTAAGGAGGGAAGGTCTTCTCTGGATAGAGGGGTGGGCATGTCCTGGGCTCTCCCAGACCCTCCGAAGCTCAGTCCACATCCCATTCCAGCCAGGAATATCTCTGGGCTCCACACCGTGTAACCTTGGGAAACACCTTCCCGCTCTGGCCTCAGCTTTGCCATGGCTTTTCAGGTTGATCTCAGGCAGGACTGGAATATTCTGTTCACAGCTGCTCTTCCAGAAGAGGAAGACAGGTACAGGTAGACCTGCATGTGCCTAGGCCAGTGGCAGCCAGCAGTAGAGGATCTGCCCACCTCTGGGGCGGGTGAGAAGTCACCAGGGCTGAAGCAGGCTCCTTTACAAGTGATAGAGTGACAGAAGTCACGGGATGCATATGTTTTGGAGCTACTTTCTAGCTCTATGAGGTATTTCCTGTGTGACCTTGGAGATGTTGTATCGTCTCTCTGTGCCCCCGTCACCTCCCCTATAGAATGAGGACAGTGCCAGCAGCGTCTTCATACGTGTCAGTCAGGTTACAGGAGTCGATGGGTATTCAGGTTGGAAGAGCGCCCAGCACACACTGAGTACTTAGTAAGCACTGGCCATTAGGAGATAAAGAGCAGCCAGCCTGCTGTTCCCAGGAAATGTGATACAGGTTGGAGGTGACAGCACCATGGCACAAGAGTCGTGAACACAGTGGGAGACACCTCACAGATGCCAGGCTGAGGCACATCCTTGAAGTGCTGCCTTGGGGACAGGCATGGCTGTTATTCCCACTTTGCAGACAACATGTAGAGGCTAAGCAGGAAGCTTAAGTACTTTGCCTGAGGTCAAGGCTCAAACCTCCAGGGAAACCTCCCACTTCTCCTTCACTAAGCATGGAGGCAGAACTACCCTGTTCTCAGAGCCACCTGCCTAGTACAATGTCAACCCCAGAGAGCGCAGGGTGGCCTGATGTCCCTTCTCAGGGTGGCCCGACTCATTCCATGACAGGGACACTGGCATCTCCAAGGAGTTTTGAGGCAGAGGAAGCCTGGGCAGAGAGGAGCACCAGGGGACACAGGTTGGAGGGTTGCCTGAGGAGGACCGTGTCTGGGCCCCACAGAGCGCCGTGGGATGCATGCCCTAGGTGCTACTGGGAAAGGATGGGGACAGTGCAGAAGCACCTGGAAGAGCAGAGAGCCATGCTATGTGAGGTGTCCAGAGATGGAAGGACCAGGTGGAGCAGCAGTGGTAATCCAGGGCCAAGCTCTTGCTTAGCACCCCCCATCTCCTCCTGTCCCCCCCCCCCAGGTACTCACCTGAGGCACTCATGCTTCCTGAATCAGCGCTCTGCACATCTCCCTGGGTTTGTCTGGGAGACTACACAGAACCGAGGATCTCTGTCTGTATCTGCAGGAGGGTGATGTGTCCATGAGCTACGAGTCTCCTTTCAGTAGTATCTTCTGTACCTGGTTCTGGGTCTCCATAAAGGAACCGATGATCATATTTATGCTTTCAAATGGAAGCTTTGTGGATAAAGGTGGTTTAGTATTTGTGGACATGACATATTTTTATGCTCCTTTGTCTCAGAGAAGGGAGCGGAGACACAAGGAGGGAGGGATGATAGAATACCAAACCTGCCTATCACCCCACTCTCTGCAAGCATGTTCCTTCCACCAGAGAGGACCTTAGAGTTGCAGCCCTCTTCGTCCCAGTGTGCATCCCAAGGTTCTCACAAGGGTTAATGCAGAACTACTATAAGCCCATCTCCACAACTCAACTGGAGGGCCAGACTCGCAGGTGGTCCCAGGCTGTACTAGGCTGAATAGGTCTGGGATGGAGAGGATATAGGTGTGTCTGGGGACAGCCTGCTCCTAAAGGGACCACAACTCTGTTTTGGAGTCCTCATCTGAAGGTTACTCAAGGTGAAAGACAGTCAGCCCTGAGCACAGAGGACATTCTGTTCTTCCTGGATTTTCCGTCCTGAACTAGCTGGGAAAGATAGCTTCTCACTCCTGCTGAGGTCCCCAGAACTAGATATTCCTGTATTCTAACCAAGTCTGAAGTTATTTCTGCAGGCAGAGTTTGGGACCTCAGACTGGTAGAGGTGACTGCAGTCTTTGGGGAGCCACCAGTGCTACAACCAAGGCTGCCTGTAGCCATCAGGAGTGTCTGGGGCTGGGAGGTGTAGGGACTCAAGCATGTGTTCCTGACCTCTAACTTCCCAGCCCCCCTCGTCCCCATCCCCCAATGCTTGTCAGCTATCTGAGGCCTCCTTGGCACCTCTGAGTGAGCCGTAGACTGGGGAGGGGCACCCTCCTCTCTTCATCTTCCTGTGGCCCGTCTTTATTCGTTGTGGGTATCTGTTCACTACCTGATTGAGACCCAAAAGGGTTGAAAGAGGGTATTACGACCAAGCGCTAGGGGCACAGAGGCACGAGTGACAAAAGCTGGACACATAGGACATGTGGGCACAGGGGGCAGGCTCATTTTAGCTCCACACAACCTCCAGACTTCTGGGTTAGCTGTGCTCTGATAGGACTGCTTAATAACCCTTCCCACAGCAATGCAGTAATCACCACCATCGCTCTGAAGGCTTGACAGCACTCTGCTTAGCAGGGCCAGTGTGATGGTGCTGCAGTGATTGGCCACATGTATGTTGTTTTCTGTCCAAGGGCAAACCTTCCCCAGTGTAGAGCTCCTGAATGGCAAGACATTTGTATCAATGGTCAATGTTAGGAGCAGAACAGGCCCTGGACAGGTGTGAGCTTGCTTCCCCAAGTTTCCTCAGTTACCTGTAGCTTTTCTGGTCCCCTCTGGCTCCCTGGTCCTCACACGCCTGTCCTTGAGGCCCAGCAGCTCTAAGATGTGAGCACACCCTTTTAGTAGTCTCTAAGGACAAAGTGTGGTAAGACAGGCTGAAAAGAAAATGTAATGGTCCCAACTGTGCAGTGGGAGCAAAGAGGCCTTTTCAGAGTTAACAGATGGTATAGGAGTTCATTTTTCCATACCAGAGCTGTTTGGAGTTAGCTAGGCCACCCAGGCTGGAGAGGTGTTGTGTTACCACACAGTGATCCTGGCTCCTGCTCTGGTGTCGTTCTCCAACCTCTGGGACTTAGTCCATCTCCCTGTGAAGATGTGGGTCCTGCATTTAGAAGGGGATGGGAAGGAGTTGGGAACACGTGTGCCCTGCACAACAGGCTCACACTTGTGCCTGAGAACAAGGGAGCCTGGTAAATGTCACCGCTAGGTGGGCATGCATATGCCAGCCAAAACGCTGTTCCTGTGTGGAAGAAGAAATGTGGAGATGTGGAGACAGCTGGTCTACTGCAGAGGAATACACTACCCTAGCGTGTTCCAGTAGCTTTTGGCTGAGCTGGCACGCACCCACATGAGGCGTCTAACTGTGGGCCGAGGGCAGATGGTGCTAACTCATGTTGGTAGGACAGAAGAGTAAAAAAGTTCAACCCCCAAGGGTTAACCAGGGCTGGAAGCCTGGACTGGGAACCCACCACAGTTGGTATTGACACGGTGTGTTGTCTGTCTTTCAGTCTGTGGACAGCGGCTCTGGCTCTGACTCTCCACGGCTGGGAGCAGCAGCCACTGATAGAGGCTGGACGGCACCATGGCCAGAGTCCTGCAGGGCTCCCGGACTGCTCTTCTCCTGCTGCCTGTGGTAAGGGCCCAGAGTCTCCCTGCACGAGTGTGCGGAGTCTCCACCTGGAGGAGCACTTGTTTCTGTATACTCTCAGCCAAGCTGTCCCCTAGGCTGGCATGTTTGTCAAATTCTGTCAACACTCACCACCCCCTCCCCCCTCCACACACTGCACCACTCATGGTTCTGTGGTGTGAATTAGATAAATAATTTCCCTCAACTGCTGCTGATTGGACTGGAACTGGCTACAGAATTTACAAGGTGGTGACACGTGCTGTGGCATTTAGAGTAGCATAGTATCTGGATACTGTGTGCAGGGTCTCTGGTCTTCTGGTCCCCATCTCATGAGACCTTCTGACATCTAAACTCTGGGGCTTATCCTCTGCTCATATCTCTCCTGGGCAAGGGTGAAGATCAGAAAGGAAGAAGCTGTCCTTAGAGCCCCTGGTACCCAGCCTCCTGCTCTGTATCTCTTTATGTAACAGGACAGGCACATCCCTCTCTCTGTAAGCAGCTGGGCTTGGATCTGTCTTGGGACATGGCCCTTGCCAGCTCAGATCTTTGCCAAGGGAATCATTTCTGACCAGGGGATTGATAGAAATGAACTTGGTCATCTATCATGATAGCAGGGCAGGTCCCTGGATCCTGCTGTGGGACCTGAACTGGTCTTTGTACCATACCGTATCTGAGCCTCTCTCTCTTCCTTTAAAAGAGAGGTAAGGCCCCTGAATCCTACCATTACCATTTTGTCTGCTATGGAAGGGCTCCTGTAGCTCTCGGCTAACCAGCTCTCACCTCTCCCCTAAAGTGCAGCAGGAACCAACACATCAGGTTCAAACCCCGTTACACTGCCGTGTGTTATGGAACAAGTTAACTAACATCTCTACTTGGTTACATATCTAGAACAGAAAATGATGACAATAAAACTAGTCCCTCCTTTGCAGTGCTGATGTGTTTCTAGCATGCATGCACACACAAATGCTCAGCGGCTAGAGGGCAGCACACACAATGGTTAATGTCACCATAGTGTGATGGAGACGGAGGCTCTGGAGCCTGTGGGAGCCACACATTGAGTTAGGGCCTGGGGAGAGTCCTCATGGCATCTGTAACAAAGTAGATGTCGATGCGCCTGCTGGACTGAGGTCTGCCACCCTCTTCCTTAACACTTTGCTTCTAAGTCAAAGTAAGGGGCTTTCAATGGAGATCCTTGCTCTCTCCTTGTCTGTTCCTCATGTCCTCCAGGTTATTGCTATGCACTCTGATTGCATCTTCAAGAAGGAGCAAGCCATGTGCCTGGAGAAGATCCAGAGGGCTAATGACATGATGGGCCTAAATGAGTCTTCCCCAGGTGAGCGCGGTGGAAGATGGTCCTGGTGTCCTTAGCACATGCAGGCTAGCCTTGCAGAAATGGTGGGAGGGTGTGAGAAACTCTGGAGCCTGCAGAATGTCCTCTGAGGCCATGGTGTTCGACATCTGCCCTGCTCAGTGACACTGGGTGTCTCTTCTAGTGCCAGTCTGGGCTGGGCTGTTCTGGGTGGCTTAAAGTGGCCACTGTTTTCTCTTGGGCCTGGTCTGGGTAGCAGCTGTCAACAAGCTTGTTCACAGGCCACCTGGGACCAGTGGCAGCAGGAATGCATCTGTCATGGTGGTTGGGCTGTAGAGTATGGCCAGCTGGGGACAAGTGTGTGGGGTCAGTTCCTGTCTCCTGGGTCCAGCAGACAGCCAGGGTTGAAAGCAGAAGCCAACCCAGGGCTCTGGATAATGTGGAGTTCCTATATCCTGTGCTGGATGTGGCCCCATACGTCTTTAGCCTGCTCCCTCAAATAATCCCAAGGATTAGAAAAAGTGCCTCCTAACAGTCCATGTCCTGAGGGAGAGGTGCAGCCCCTGGTAAGACCCAGGGGTCTTCTTCCAACTCTCCCGGTAGGTGGGTGGGCATCTTGGAGATGCCATGCTTTTCTCCTACTCCTGTCCTGCAGAGCACACTGACACTACCTAGGGGTGAGGCTCCACTCCATCCTGAGGGGTGTGCCTTTCCCTCTGGGCTCATCCAGCTCTTCTGAGAACAATCTGCTTGAATGTATGATTAATCAGCAGCCCAGTAAACAGAGTTTCCACTGGACCAGCTCTCCTTCACAAAGACTGGCCATGGGGAGATGTTCCCAGAGTGGCATGGTTGCTTCCCTACCAGACCAGAAAGTGGACTCTAGCCCACACCAACTAGGGAAACTGAGGAAGGGGGCAGAGGGGTACACAGTGTGTGTGTGGGGGGAACCTAAAGACTAGGCGAAGAATCTCTGATCTAAGCGGCGTCTTTGCGTGGGTGCTGAAGGCAGTAGCTATCCATTGCTTGAGTACCATGTGGGTAGACCCCATGTGGCCAGCCAATGACCTGGAGTCATTGGTCCCAAATGCCACTCTCAGGAGGGGAAGGAAGAGAGGGGAAGAAGGCATAGGATATGAGGCTGTGTATAGTTTAATTACACTCCTCAGATGTACACTGGGTGGAAGGATTTGACAAGACAGGCTTGCTCATAGGGTGTCCTTGTCTAAAGCAAAAGAGGACAGATGTGAGTAGAACACTCATATAAGGAGGGGTGGGTGGGGCTTTGGAGAAGAAGAGGTGAGGGCCAGGAGGAGCAGGAAGAGCTGGAGTAGCTCTTCCCACCAGGGGACCTTTTAGGCGAACATCCACAAGCCACAGTCCAGAGTAAACCAGAATCTCGACTTAACATAGTTACATGACATTCAATAGCTCCCAGGAGGTTCTGGTGAGAAGGTAGAGCTATGAAAACCAGCAGGGCAGGGGTGGACATTGGTAGCAGGAGAGTCAGGACCAGTGGGAGACCACTGCAGGCTGGGGAGTGGGGTGTGATCACTCCTACTCAATAGACGAAGAAACAGGTGCAAGGGAATGCTGCACCTTGCTTAGGGACACAGTTCATCACACGTGGGACCTGAATTTGAGCAGTGTCCTCTGTCATGGCCTCAGGACAGCACACTCTGAGGCCCGGCATGGCTTCCATATCACCTTTGAAGACATGCAACAGCTCGGTTTTCTTGGTATAATGGAGGGGGATTAACACCTAGCAGCTGTCATCTGCAGGGAGCAGGAAGCAGGACCTCAGAGTCACTGCATCTGTGCATCTCCCTCACGGTGTGGGAAGCTACAGCTTTCCTACCTTCTGCTAGGTCAGAGTGCTGGTGAGGTAGACACCATTCAGAAGTGTCTGGAAAGTTTTTCTGAAAGAGAAGGGCATATACTCAGACTTTCTTGGACTGCCAGCCCCCAAATGATGACATGGAAACTTATTATTAATTATAAAAGCTTGGCCTTTGGCTTAGGCTTGTTCCCAGCTTACTCTTATAACTAAAATTAACCTATTCTACTAATTACATTCTGACACGTGGTGGTTCTTTATCTCCCCTCCATTCTGTATGTCCAATTCCCTCAGTGTCACACTGGCTTCTCTGGAGCACTTAGATTCATCTCCGGTTCTTCTCCCCCTCACCCCCTCCCTGGGAGTCCTGCCTAGTCTCTCCTGCCTAGCTGTTGACCATTGGGCTCTTTATGAAACCGATCAGAAGGGGCCTTTCACACAGTGTGATCGAATATCCCATAACAGGGAGGAGCTGAGAACTAGCCCTGCCTTCAGGGAGCTGAGGAGAGGAGGGAGCAGGAAGAGCAAGCAAGCCTAGGCAGGGGTGGCTTATCATGGGTGAGACCTGTGGGCTAGCACTTACAGAGTAGGTGTTGCCAGAGGAGATGTGGGTCCTGGACGCTCATGCCTGCACACAGCTCCTCAACCCAAGTCAGCGGTGGTATTTCCTTCCACTTGAAGATGCGGTTGCCCACTCAGAGTCACTTTCTAGCTTCCTTGCCCATTATCTAGAAGTTCATGCCAGGGTGGTAAGAGCCAGTGGGTGTTTTGAGACGGGCCCGGAGATCCCAGCTCCCCTAGTCCACTACACTGCGGTTGAAGAGTGAAAAGTCTCCCTGGCTCCAGCTTTCCTCTTTGCTGGACATATGAGGAGTTGTGGCCTGGCCTGCTCAGAGTAGAGCCCCACAAAGGCAAAGAGTGTTTGCATAGGTGTTGCAGAGGTGGAAGGCTCACTAAGGAAGGCAAGGGCAGAGGAAGGGGACCCCTTGGGAGGGCCGGGCTGAGTAAAGCATCCATCAAATCCATGGTCTAAAGGTCCTGTGGTACAATCTGCTGCAAACAAGCATCTGAAAAGGCAGTTTCCAGGCCCCATGCCAGGGTTCAGGGGTCTACGAAAGCTAACCCTTGTTGTCAGCCCCCAAGGGAAGGCCTTCATGTTTTCGGAGCCTCGTATGAGCCTCATGCCTGTCTCTAGGGATGTCTTCATCTGGGCCTTCAAATTAAACAACCTTGTGCCTCTAGAGCAGGGGCCATCTCACTGTACTTCACAGTGCCACCGAAGTCCCTAGGAACAATTTAAACCACGAGCAGTCCTTTCCTACCTGCAGTGAAGGTCAGCAGCAACTGGGCCCAGGCTCCAAGGAGGTGTGTTCTCAGAGCCAGCCTCTAGCTCACTGCAAAGTGTGTCCAAGTCTGACAGCTCTAGAGAACCATCTCCACCGCTGTGTCCACGTGAGTCAGGTATGGGAGAAAAGGCCAAGAGCAGGTGAAACAGGCTAAGATCTCATATCTGGGAGTGGCATGGGGTTAAGAGCTGGGTTGTGTTGCTAGCCTTGGTTGGGGAGAATAGGGATTGGTCAGCTGTTGTTTCCTCCTGCCTCTCCAACCATGTTGTCCCTGAGCTCTTATCTGCATGGACACTTTCAGTAGTGGTGACCCTGAGACAGGCTTGAAAATGAAAGCCTGCTAGTTTGCTTCGGCGCCTGCTCAGGGCTGCTTTTATACACATGCACACCCACGCATCCACTTGCTTCTCAATGTCATGGCCACCCCAGGGTGGCATGGCTGGGCAGCCTCTTAAATCACCACGCAGGGCAGGAAATGCAGACCTTGGTGGTCTGCTCAGCCACTCCACACGACCACTTTGCGCAGTCAAGAGACTGCAAGCAGGAGGTGTGTGAGAATATGTAGCATGTTGCAGCGCTTCACGGTAAAATTGAAAAATTAAGTACACCATGAGTTAATGGTAGAAGTATAGTTTATTAGATTCATGGGCCAAGAATTTAGTCAGTTATTGTGCGCCATACATAATGTGTGTGCTGTGCTGTTTCACGTGGCTGGCAGTGAGGTTCCCACCAGCATCGCCACAAACACTTGAGTGACTTTCACATGGTGATTGCATCACTAGTGGCAGGCACTTCTCTAGTGTAAGGTTAGGAGACAGCCACGGCTGTCTAGTAAGTTGGGACTGTTGGAATGAAAGCCTGGCTTGTTGGAGGCAATGGCCATGTGTGGTACTATGTGGTTGTGGATAACTGTCTTGGAGAAGCACCTATATTCCCTCATCTTCCTGATCTCCATTATTTTGAGCTTGTATTGAAGGGGTTTCATGGGGAGAGAGAGGACTGGGGATGGAGGTATGTCTCACTGTTTTGTTTCTCATTCCAAATCCCTGGATCCTGCATGGGACTTGCGCCAACTCTGAGTCTGGCTCTGCCATATGACACATGAAGCGGCTAGAGCCAGAGGTGCTGTCACTGGCAAGTCGCATGGAGAGTCTCAGCCAGCTCTGGGTGGGTGCCCAGAGCTCCTGGCTTGGGAATTCCCTCTCTGCTGCACTGTAGCAGTGTCCTTGGAGGAGGAAAAGGACAGGGAGGGGGCCCCCTCTGTGCACAGGACCTGGGACTGGTCTATGCACAACAGGCCATGTAGCCATTCTTTGATCCCTCTACCCGGGTCAGGTTTGCTTGTCTAGGCTGTGGCCAGCAGCACCTCCTCCTTTGGAGGGCTTTGAGCTGTGAGCATTGGGAACCTTCCTGTGTCCCAGAAGAGCTGGTCTGGCTAGTCTTCAGTGATTTCCACATGCTGAGATGGGAAAGGCCTGTTGCACTGTGGCAGGTCAGGAGAGAGGCCTTCATGTTGCCTTTCTGGATTTGTCCTAGGTAGAGTTCGGGACAAGCCCCAGCCCCAACCCCGACCCTGTTAGCCTTCCAGCTGCTCCAACAATGACCATCCCCAAACATGAGGAAGTAGGTGTCTATAGAACCCTTGCTCTGAGTAACTTGCCATTTGTAGTGTTCATAGAAACCTGACTGAAGGCTTTCTCAGACCCATATTCTCCAGAAGATGGCCCCTTTGGAACTCAAGCATGTATCAGACTCTCCTGGGGACTTGCTAAGCACAGATTTCTAGGTGGTCCCAGTGCATCTCATACTTAGGTCTGGCTGGGGGGTCTGAGCGTCTACAT